TGAGTTCATTCAAATATTTGTCGCCTTTGTTCATTATCTAAATAATTATTTTCAAATAAATAAATAAAAATAAACCAATAAATGCGTCCGCTATTTTTATCGTTATCTTTCTGGCAAAGTCGATGCAAGCTAAAGAGGTTAAAAAATTGATAATTAATAATAAACCGGGATTTTTTATTTAACTGCGTATGAATCCGCTGAGTCAATAATTAGCAGTCATGAATAATAATTATCTGATAGGATAATTTTTTAACGATCCATTTATTTTTTGTATTTATAATTTACAATGCTTGTAACTAATAATAAATTAAGTTTCTTAAATATACATAATAATTAACGTCACTAAATTTAATATTAACTATCATCGTCAGTGAATAAATGTTTGAGTATATTTAGCAATAAAAAAAATCATAAGATATTGTCAATTGACAGCAATTTATTATTTTATTATCTCTAATTTACTGGGTTGCTCCGAGGCTTGAATAAAATAGAATAAACATTGCATTAACCGAATTTATCGGAAAACACAGCTAAGCTATTATATAAAATTAAATCATTTTATTGACAAATTGACTTGATTAATTCGCGGAATGGAGCTAAAAAAAAATACAGTATATTTTTTTATTATTAAATTGCTAAATGTAATAGAGAGAAATTTAATGAATAAAGTTGAATCGAGAACGTTATCGGATTATTTCTTAGGTCGATGACTCATGGAATTAAAATTTTTAAACAGAGAGTCTATATAGTCTCGAGTCTATATCCAATCCCTTATTATATTATATAGATAGTAATAGATGTGTATTAAGTCCATTACTCTCATCTGAATAGAGAAAACACGGAATACATAAACTTAACAGTACATGGTATCTCTGTATCGTATAATAGACACAGCCAGCGTTGTCTAATGTCCACCGACAGGAAAGTATGCAGCGTGTAGTATTATATAGGATAGGATAGGATATACCTTGCATACTACATATTTATGTATGTTGTAATAAGCATAAAGAATGAAGAATGAAGTATGTAAAAAATAAAAGTGTGCAAGAGCATCAGTTTATTATAAACCGAGACTAAACAAATAGATGGATACCTTGACGATATTTATCGCGAATTCTGACAAATATACTGATAAACTGACGCCATATCGTTATCTTTTTGATAAGGATGTATAAGCGACTCTAAATTCTCGATTGTGTTTACTGCCATTTATATACATATTTTTTATCACTGAAAATTCACCTATTAATTCCGAAAATTTTATTTATTAACATATGTGTCATTATCAAGGAGTGAGTTATTGACGCAGTTACTGAAAACTCGGTATATTTATTAATATTTTGCTGGATAAGAACTTAGTGTCGAAAAAACACTTGCAACGCTCTTATATCATTGCAAAAAAATTGTTATGTAAGTAACTTTAGATTGAGTTGCGTTTTTTTACCTTAAACTAAGACTGTTTCTTTAGTGAGTTTACGGACGGATGTCGGTGTCCTCTTTTCAATAAATGTTTCAGTTTTTACGTTTGTTTATTATTATTATTGTTGGTGAAGATAAAGTTCGGTTTTTAAAGAAATTCTAATTTTTTATTAGATAATAAATATTAATTAAATACTGATAAGTACTTGTCTTGAGTAATTATTATATTTTTATATTATTAAATTACTAAAATTTTAAGTTTAAAGGTAGAAAAATTTTAAAATAACTGTAAGAATTCTAAATAAATAATTTGGACACAACGATTCGAAAATTTAGAAAAAATCCAGAGTAACTGTATTTTTAACGGAAATTATTTTAGTTTAGAAACGTTGGTTTCTCAAAAAAAAAATTTTTATATACATATACATTAAAAATAACATTTTATTTTAAGATTATTATAAAATTTTTTTTTCATTAAGATCTTATGATTTTCTTTTGGATAAAATGCTTAAAATTTTGAACTTTTTATTGAAATTTTTATTTTTCCAGCACTAAAATTTTACTCATGGCATACAATTCAACCCCTGATTAAATAGAAAAAGCCTATCACTGACATTTATTGCTATCCAATAATTTAAATTTAATTCAAAGGTCTACCATCAAATTCCAAGCAAGTAATAATAGTAAAGCCAATACAAAATACAATATAATAAAACCATTATCATTATTATATACCCGTGCGGTAAACATGATAAAAACCCGAGATTTGTAGCGTGTCGATCGACAACTAAGCGTAAATTCAGATTTCGAGAAATAAGAATTGATTGAAAGTAGACATAAAAAACGATTAAGTCCGTAAAAAAATATCTTATTCTGCTTTTTTTTTTCTTGTACGGTATAATAGAATGCAGTAGTCCCAGTTAAAGTTGTTATGTATTGAGTTGAGCCAAAGTATAAAGTCAAAGTCAAAGTAAAGCCAGTTCAGACAGCGGAAAGGAAACATAGCATTATCTTCGAACACCTGCGTGGCCCTTTCGTGTCGGCAGGAAAATGCATCCCGAGCTAAATAAAAATCTTGGACTAAGTATAAGTATGAGAGTAGTCAAAGATTCTGAGTCGGAGAAGAGGTACCGGTATCATTTATAATATATATATATATATATATATATATATATATATATATAGTAGACAGGTATAGGTAAATACAAGTACATATATATACTTGGAGGGTAGTCGGTGCTGGTACCTGAACAAAGACAGCTCCAAACTCTGGAGCAGAGCGCGATTGCCCCTTCTTTCACTACCAACACATCTTATTCTCATTTCATCTTTCTCAGATTCTTATTCTCCGCAGCATCCGCGTACCGTCTACATAACATGTAACATATAACATCTCTCCATACGTATAGTTAGAGTATAAACCAAGCCTGCTGTCTCGAGATTTTTATTCGGATACTTGTATCGACTCTGGCGTATAAAGTACCAGCCAGAGGATAGTATAGGAATAAAACCCAGCACAGCATCCAACACAGCTGGCGAATGCTTTCGGGGTTACACTGGTATCCTCCCCCCTTCCCACGCGGGCCTTACTTTTCTACCTTACACGACGACCACCTTGGAGAAAACAGAAAACACGAGTATTATATACTAAGAGCTACCAAGTTAATAGTATAAGTATTATAGGTGTAGTGTGTACTATTATTGTATATTATACAGCATACACACATAATGATCAGAGATGAGACTCCGAATTCTATACGGGGTCCAGAGACTTTGGGTCTATTGTAACTTGACTCTCATCAGATTAGATTTTTAGAATCACCTACGCTGTAAATTCTTTACATTCTAATAATTTATTATTGGGCCCAAATATATGTATGTCGAGCCAATAATTTATGTATTAACATTTTTATTTTTATTTATTTATATATAAATAAATAACAAAATATTATTGAGAGGGATAATAAATTAAATTTTAATGGGAACTGATATGTTGCTAATAGAAGTGTTTGTAATAATTTTCAGTAATTTTAAAATTAAAACTTTTGATAAAACAGTCACAAGAAAATTTTATAATTTCTCGGGTAAATTTTTATATTATTCACAAAATAACTTTAGAACTTCTTGAATTTAATCTATTTCTCATATAATTTTTTTTTTAATATTTTTAGAGCTTTGGAATTATTAATTATCTTTTAATACATCATTAAATAGACAGAAATTGCGGTAACTGTAATTCGACGGTTTGATAACACCATATGCTTACAGCAATTAAAGTATTTACATAATTTAAAGGACATTTTACAATATCGGCGTTATATCTATTCTAATATTCAGTTGACAAAACTTATTCAGTCGCAAAAGTAATTGGATGACAGCTGTCATTAACTAAAAGCAACCGATGTTTTTTAAATTCTTAATGCTCAAATTTCCAAAGCTTACATAATAATTAAGATAAACATGAATAAATTTATCGTTATTTTCTGTGTTTTTTTTTTCCGATTTATTTGTTTTTATAAAATCACTTAGAAGTATTTAAAAAATACATTTTCAAAAATATTTCCTTGACAAATCAACAATGTTTGAATCTTTTTCAAAACTATTCAGTTATTCTATTTTTGAGTTTTCTAAAAAGTACAAATCCTCACTCATGACTTTTCAATCTAAATAATTGACCCAACTTTCAACCATTTATTTTTATAAATAAAATTTATCATTATTAAAAGTCTATAAAAAGTCTTTGAAGTATCAAAAACGATGCCAGATTTCTTTTTTCTTTTCTAAAATAATCTGACTCGCTTCTCAATTTGTCGCAAGTTGTCAAGTCGGCTTAGAAAAATCTCTTCCATTAAATATAATAAATCATAATCATAAGGTATTAAAAATTAATATAAAGAGATATCGACAACTGACATATCTTATAAGTAGTTATTACGGAACACTTAAAAGCATTGCGTCTTCTATTCACCTCACCTTTAAGAATATAATATAAAAATGAATAATTTATTGAAAAAAAAAAAAATTTTTCTTTAACAAAAAAAAATTTCTTCTTGCTCCAAAAAATCTAAAGTTTTTCTAAAAATTTTCTAGGTCCAAGTAAGCCTTTTTTTTTAAGTGTAGAGTAATTTTGATTCCGAGTAGCAACTCAATTTTATTTTGAGTTACATTATTGGTATTTTCGATAACACGATAAAGTAATATTATTTGGTGTCGTAGTATCCAGTTGATAACTGCTATAACTCACTGATAAAGCGCTGACTTCCCAGTATATATACATATAAATATATGAATATAAATATAGATATATTGTATTGTTATTTATTGCTATTAATACAACAAAGGTACTCTTTGTTGGAGAATAAAAACATTACGATGATATTCTTCATGCAGTATTATATTTTTCTACTTGATAACATAATCATAATCACGCTAGTTTGCAGACAAAATAAAAAAAAAAACATACAATAAATATAAACGTTAACACACTGTGTTGTAGTTATAATTCTAGTTGAAGTAGCACAGAGTAAATAATTTATATTTATTTATTTAATTTAATATTTATTATTTTCAGATAACGAAAAATGAAGCGGCGCGGTAGGCTAGCATTGCTGCTGCCGTTGTCGGTGTTGCTGATCGCCACAACAATTTGTGCATCGCCAACGTCTATTAGAAATGAAATAACAGCGGAAGTAGAGCAGGGGACCACCTCGGCGACAGTCAAAACCCCCGGGAAACCTGAGCCAACGGTATCGATCACCGAGCGACCGACGACAACCAATCAACCGGACGTCACTACCAGGCGAACATCTTCTTCTTCTTCTTTAACTCGCCCCATTAAAGTGTCACACGATCAACTTCATGATGCTGAAGACAATACAAAGGAACTTATAAATTTCAAAAATAATCGGCTACAGGAAATTCTAAAGCGAGACAAAAAGGTACCCGCTGAAGACTTGGTCAAGTTGACAAAGCCCGTTATCAATCCCGGAGACGCTTTGTTGCAAGAGATTAATACGTTAGATGAAAGTGACTCAAATAAGGTATTACTCATCTTAGCGATAAATACGCGGTATAAATAATCTTACTTAAGTCATTAAGTTTTTATTTTTAGTGAAAATTAATTAATATTTTTTGAGGCGAAGTTGATAAAGAAAAAAAATTTTTTTATATTACCTTTAAGATTTTTTTTATTAATTTAAAATCTATTGTCCTTCCAATCAACTGGTGATAATATTAATTCAGTTAAAACTCTAATTTTTTATTTGTTTTTTTTTTTTTTTTTTTTTTTTTTTTTTTTTTTTTCTCAAGGATATCAATTTTTAAATAAAACTTGAAAGTAGGACAAGTCTATGACCATAAATACGTATATCACAAGTACAATAACAAAATTATCTTAACAATTATTTTTTAGTGCAAACATTTTTTTTTTAATCTGAGAATTGTCGTGTAATTTTATTTTTATTATTCTATATTATTAAGAGAATATTGCAAAGGTGTTGACTTGAATTTATACCTTTTCAAGGTTTCATATTATTCTCACCGATAGTCAATTTATTATGATAAGTATTTAGGCTACATTCGAAAATTCTTTATCTCTAGATACATAATTAAGAAATGACCTTGTATCTTGAGAACTATTGAGATTTTTAAAGATATAAGCTCACCCCGACATTGCACTCATTGAAACCTTTCATTTGAGTACCCACATCAATTTTTCATATATTTATATATATATATGTATATATGAAAAATATATCAAAATGCATGTGGGTACTCAAATGAAAGCTCTTGATAAGCGTAACATCAGGATGAGCTTACATCTTTAAAAATATCAATAATTAAGAAATGACATTGTATCTTGTAAACTATTGACATTTTTAAAGATATAAGCTCACTCCGACATTACACTCATCGAGACCTTTCATTTGAGTACCCACATCAATTTTTCATATATTTATATATATTATATATATGTATATATGAAAAATATATCAAAATATATCGTTACACTCATCGAGACCTTTCATTTGAGTACCCACATCAATTTTTCATATTTTTATATATATATATATGTATATATGAAAAATATATCAAAATGCATGTGGGTACTCAAATGAAAGCTCTTGATGATTGTAACATCGGAATGAGCTTATATCTTTAAAAATGTCAATATTTAAGAAAGTACAGTGCAATTTAACAAAAGTCATTATTTAATAAAGCAAAATTTTATTTATTTATAGTTCACAAGTCACGGCAGTCACATAGTGACTGCAAGATTACTAGTTATCATTAAAACATTTTTTTTTGTAATTATAAATTTTCAGAAAATAAAAGAAGACATAAAACTACTGAAAGATACCACAAAACCGCGAACCAAACCTCATGTGATACCACCACTAGAAAAGTCCTCCTTAGGAACAACCCAGAGCCGCGCGATGAAAGAACTCATCGAAGCCGAGAGTGACGTAACCTACAACGATGATCTCGACGACGACGATGACGATGACGATGATGATGACGACGACGATGATGACGACGACGACGCCGACGACGAAGACAACGATGATGGTGACGACGACGATTACAAGGACGACGACGACGACGACGTGGAAGATGAAGAAGACATAATGATCAACTGCCCCGACTATTGTAGGTGTGCTGGCCAATATGCAGCTGCAACAACAGCAAGGTAAATGCTAAACCATTGCGTCATTCACTCGCTCATTATTTACTGTAATAGATCACCAGATAGAGATTACATTCCTATTATTATTATTATATTAATAATTTATATGTAAATAACATTTATATTTATATTTTTAGATGTAGTAGACTGATAGACAACCAGTCCTTTGGTCCAGGCATCGCCCACTTATTGATAGAGAATGCCGGTGAGATCAGACTCGGCCCACACGCTCTACGTGATCGTGATTTAGAACACATAGAAACAATTACCATTGTTGATACCCGCGTGTCTCATATTGATCTTACAGCCTTCGACGGCATTACCTACCTATTCGCCGTTAATTTGAGCCGGAACGGCATCATTGACATTCATCCCGACACCTTTGAAAATAACACACAGCTTAACTTGCTCACCATCTCGGGCAATCCCTTCTGGCGTGACTGGTCCGTCACCAAAGATTACTTACTAAATGCCCCGAGTGTAACTGAGTTCGACTTTTCTTGGAACTCAATGCCGCATCTACCGAATTCCGCGTTCTCGAAGATGCCAACCCTGGCGTACTTGAACCTCAAGCAAAACCGACTGAGCAATATCGACAGAGCGATTTTCAAACCTCTGAGTTCATTGGTAGAGCTGGACCTGAGCGGAAACCTCCTCACTGATTTGCCTTCCGACGTCTTTGAAGGAACCGACCTGCAGAGTTTGAAGCTCAACGACAACTTCTTGACCTCTTTGACATCTGTAAACGCGACGTCGCTGGACATTCTCGACGTGTCGAACAACCGCATCAAGGTAATCGCCAAGGGTGACCTGGACAACGTCCCGTCTCTCGAGCAGCTGATCATTTCGGGCAACGAACTGAAGAGAATCCACCAGCATGCCTTTTCAGAGCTGGACCAACTCGAGCACTTGGACATCAGCAACAACAAGCTTACATCCTTCACTGAGCACCACCTCAGAAACAGCCCAAGATTGGAGGTCCTGTTGATGAGCGACAATCCAGATCTTGGATCTCTGCCGGTCTTCAAGATAAACGGACTTGAGTATAACACTTACAGCGTCTACCGGTTCGAATGCGCCAATTGTGGACTCGTTGAGCTCAAGAGCGGGACTTTCAACGCTATGCCGGCTATCGCGAACCTCAATCTCGCGGGAAACAAACTCGCTGGACTGCCCAAGGATCTGTTATCGCCGTTGTCTTCTTTGCGAGAGCTAGATCTCTCGGACAATATGATTGCATTCATACCGAGTGACATGCTTCGCGGCGCAGTCTCTATGACGAAATTAAATCTCGCCGGAAATCCGCTGATGACTCTTCAGGTTACGCCTTTCTTACAGGCGCCAGAACTTACACGGCTTGATGTCAGCAGATGCATGTTGAAACGGGTTTGGACTGAAGCTCGTCAACACTTTAAATCACTTCGGTAAGTTTACGGTACATTATTATGATTAGTCTTTTTTTAATAATTTTTATATTTAACTTATAACTAATATAACATTTATTTTTTTATTTTGGTAATTATTTACAAGTGGGGTCAAATTTTTTTTTTTGATTCTGCTTGTTTTTACGGCTCATTTATTATTAAAAATGTCGTGAAAGAAAAAAATAAAGAAGTACATAAAAAAAACGAACAATTTAAAAAAAAATTTTTAATATCACAATTTTCTAAAAAATTTACTAAATTTTTTTGAAAATTTGTTAAAATTGTGATAATCAATTTTTTTTTTTAATTGTTCATTTTTTTATGTATTTAAAAAAAAAAGTATGTCAATAAAATCAAATAGAAATTTCTTTAAAAAAAAATGAAAATTAAAGACCCCACTTGTAAATATTTACCTTTATTATTTTTTTTTAATTTCACTTGTAAAAAATAAACTAAAAAATGAATAATTTACAGATTTTTGTCAGTACGTGGAAACGAATTGGAACGTATTACAGTTGAAGAATTGAAAGCGACACCAAAACTGTCAGGCCTGGATATATCACAGAACCCATTGAACTGCGATGCCGAGTTTGACGGCGCTATTCAGTGGCTGAAGTCCCACGGTGTTATTCCCACGGAAACCGTAAGGTACATCAGCAACCTTGTCGCCAGCGAAACAGAGCAACATGAGCCTTCGGGTGAAAGTGTCACCAGCTGGTCAGACCTCGCGAAATTGGTCTGTGAGGACGAATTGGATAAACCAATTCTGCGACCAGTCCCACAGAAACCTCCAACCCGCGACGATGAACCGACTGACGAAGCTGCTGCTGAAATTTCAAAATCTGATCTCGGTGATATGAAATTCATTAAGGTATTTTTTATATTATTACTTATTCACTCATTACTACTTTTATTTATTTATTAATCAACATACGCCTATCGGCGATATACATCAATAAAAATTATTTAAAATTAAATAACATTAATTTAAGAGAAAAATTAATTAGAATTTAATCAATGAAAAAACGAGAAAAAAAAACTCTTTATAATTTATACATAAATTAACAATTATTTTTTGAAATTTGACATAAACGCACTGAATGTCCCACCGTAGAATTTCACTTCACCCAGTTTTAATTGGATTTATAAAATATGAGCTAAAATAATTTATTAATTTCAGACTTTCCCCGGTCATAAAAATAATCCTGTCGAGGACGTTTGGTTGGAACTGGATAAAAACATCGAGTACGACGATTACTCAAACGATCAAGTGTCCAGTGGTTACCGCACCTGGTACAGCACTGCGATGTGGTCAGTCCTGACTATTGGTCTTGTAACACTAGGTGTTCTTCTGATAATAATCCAGTTCGCGCGATACATGGCCAATCGCAGAGGCCGCGGACCTGTTATCAGACCGCCCATGATTCTGCGCCAGGGTCTTGTGGACAACAAGAATTGCGGACTGGTCTACAAACCTCTCCAAGAGGAAATTGCAACTCCTCAGCTTCCGAAAAAACCCAGCGGGTACTCTCGCGGGCCTTTTCACTACAAACAAATAGTGCCTGAAAGCAGCTAAACTTACTTGCTAATTATTGCATATAATAATTATTGAAATTTAAAGTGAGGTATTAAAGTAGCTATATAAATGAAAGGCGAAATAAATTTTTTATCAATCGTAAGAACTGATATCTTACTTAAAAGCTCCTATGATAAAAATATCGTAATATTGAAAATGAAAAAAAAAAAGCCTTAACTATTCCATTTTATTTTTATAAATTTAAAGTACTTAAAAAAATTGTACGAAAATTTTATTAAGTATAGATCGTAAGTGGGTGGATAAAACGTTATGAATGGATTATTATTATTATTATTATTAATAATTATAATTATTTTAAATAGTATTTCGTATTGATTTGTTTATATTAAGCCCATTTGAACAAATAATACGGCGAAGGGATTCCATTTTTTAAAATTATAAATATTAATTAATTAATTATTAATTTTACTAGTAAGACTTTACAATAATTATAATGATTATATTTTAATAGTGATGATAATAGTAATAATATCCATTATTATTGTTATTATTACATATGTGCCGTAAATAACTGGGGTATTTTTTTATAAAAACTGCAATAATGTTAATTAAATAAAATTGTATACTTATATTTTATCAACTGCAGACTAATTATCTGAAATTCATTTTTATAGCTTTATCTTTTATCGCTAATTATATTTGGCCGCTGTAAATAATAATATGTAATACAATTTTATTAACAATATATTAGTCGAAAAAAATGCTTTCATCTAAAACTATAAAATAAATTATTTTTAAAATAATTATTCTCATTTATTTATCTAATAAATATTTATCATCAAGGCATTACCGACTATAAATCAAAGTCGTGGTATCTAGATCTAAATGACCTCTAAATACATGAGAGTAAGCAATGAGTCGAGTAAAGTGTCTGGTATTTTAATTTAAAATAATAAAATTATCGTTTGTAATAACAGAGGAGGAATGGAGTAATTTAACTCAGCATGTCTTTGAATTTGTTGAGAATATTTTTTAAACTCGTAAAAGTAATGGTTACTTTGTTGAGACGAATCATTCCTGTGGTCACTACTCTTTAAGCACATCGAACCTATCATACTTATTTTTTTCCTTGTATTTCTGTCAGATCGGATAAAAGTGATACAAGTTCCATCGACGTGGATGTAAAAGTGCATTAAATTTTTTACTACTGGAGAAATTATCTCACACATAATATAATGTTGCCCAGAAGACTCGTGAGTTATCTTCAGCATGTCGGATCTCAATACTAGTGAGTAAAAAAGTATATTTCCAGGGTTTAAAAAAAAAAAAAAACAAGGGTAGATAGAAAATAATTAATTGCGGTTGAACTTAATAAATAAAATTCAAACCGGTTTGAAATATTTAATAGTTGACATTTTATTCAACGCTTTTTATTTTAAATTATACTATAAATATTTATTTATTAATTTTATTACAATATTTACAGACGTAGACGTCCAGTTTATTTACTTTTATTTTATTAATAAGTAGTTTATTTAAAAAAATAATCTTAGGGCCAGTTTTTCACTCCAGAATAGTTTTATTCAATGATGACATATATATATATATACACTAGCAATAATAATAATAATAATAATAATAATACTTTTATCCTGGATTAAAAAACTGGACCTTAGTTTTATTTTTAAATCTTAAAATTTATACAAGATAAAACAATTGAAAGTGAACATAAAATATTTTCATCATTTTGACATTTAACTCTAAAGAAATAATTCATAATCCACGTATTGATTACCCAGAAAGTTATAAATATATTCTGTAAATCGACAAAACAAAATGTTGACTGTAGGAATTAACGGATTCGGAAGAATAGGAAGAATGTGCTTGCGTGTTTGTCTCGAGAACGATATTGACGTACGAAATTCAACCTCATAAATTAATTATAATTATCTGGTAACTTTCAACCAATCTATGCTTTTTTATATATTAAAGGTGAGATTAATAAACGACCCGTTTATTTCAACCGACTACATGTTATATTTATTCAAATACGACTCGACTCATGGTACTTATCCCTCTATAATGGTATGCGAGAAAGCCGCCTTGGTGATTGGTAATAAAAAAATATCAACTTCTCAAGAAAAAAATCCTTCTAAAATAAAGTGGAACAATCACGGCGTTTATTTTGTTATTGAGGCAACTGGAGTTTTTACGTCACTTGAAAAAGCATCGGTAAAATTTTTTTAATTTTTTTAAAGATTTTTTAATTAAATAAAAAATTTTTTATTAATTAAAGATGCATTTAGACGGAGGCGCAAAAAGAGTTGTGATTACCGCACCATCGGATGCCCCGATGTACGTTATTGGGGTAAACCATTGCAGTTACACCCCCAAAAAAGGATATGTTGTATCAGCAGCATCTTGTACGACCAATTGCGTCGCTCCAGTACTCAAAGTGATGAATGATAATTTCCAAGTACTCGAAGCAATGATCACAAGTATTCACGCGACAACTGCCACTCAAAAAACCGTCGATGGACCCACTGGAAAGGCACGTTTACTTTGTAGTCATTATTCTCATCTCCCACGTTGTAATATTGTATATATATATATATTTATATTTATACCAAGTTTAATTGCACTCTGCATTGCATTTTGCATTTGAACGTCGTGTGAGGTTTTAATTTTTTAATAATATTGAAATTAGCTGACATCTGATGATTTCGAGGGCTTTTTCAACAAATAAATTATTAAAAAAAAATTTTTCTAAAAAAGTTGTAAGTTTTTGAAAAATTTTTTCTTAGGAGGAATTTCATATTTTATTTCATTAAAAATTGTTATAAAATAAAAATAATAATAATAATATTTTTTTTATAACAAAAAATAGAGCGATCATTCTGGGGGTGCTTGTATTTCAGGAAAATTGTGGGAGTGATACATTATTATTATTATTAGAATTTTTATGTTATAATAATTTTAATGAAATAATATGAATTTTTCATAACTTAAAAATTTTTTCTAGATTTATTTTTTCCGATTACCAAAAAGGACAGATGTCTGCTAATTTCAATTTTATATTTTTTAAAAGTCTCAATAGCTTTTATTTTATTAACTATTAAGTACTTTTATGTTAAAATAATGTACATTCGCCTAATATAAAGTTGTGGCGAGATGGCAGAGGGTGCCTTCAAAATATAATTCCAACATCAACTGGAGCTGCTAATTCTTTAGGAACAATAATTCCCGAATTAAAAGATAAAATATCAGCGATTGCATTTCGAGTTCCTGTTCCTAATGTTTCATTATGTGACATCACATTCAGGTAATGATTAATAATTGAAGTTATTTATCCGTTGAATAATTTATTAGGGGAGTGTGGGGTCACCCCGGTCACCTAAGAAGTGAATTAAAAAAAATATTAAAATTATCATTTTGGAATAATAAAAAAGACTTTATTCAATTCTTTGACATCTGAAGAACTAAATGCAATGACTAAAAAATATAAGTATGAATATAAATAAAAATATTTAAAGAATTATAGAAATAATGAGTTTGATCGGGGCGACCCAACGTGTTGGGTCACCCCGGTTATTAGGCAGGTCGCTCCGGTCAGTATTAATTTTATTTTAAAAATTAGAAATTCCGAATTATATTGTTAAAATTTAATAAAAATTAAAAATTAATTTTTTTATTGAAACTTTAGCAGCAAATAACATTGATATTGGTAATTTTTAACATTTAAACTTTCTGTTTTTTAACTATTCGCGGCACGAAGAGTTTCAGGAGTCTAATTTCCCCTTTCAGTTTTCCGGATTTTTTTACGAGGCATCTATAATTTATTTATTAATTTATAAAAAAAATATGACCTTTTAAAAATAATTGATCCATTTTTCTTTATTTAAAATTACGAGATAACTTACCGTAATTGATAAATTAATTAAAAAATAGTGATTCGTTTTAAATTAAATAAACACACGAGCTGTCAGACAATAAACAATTGAATAAACTGACCGGTGTTACCTCACAGCTTTGACTGGTATGACCCCAACCGATAGTTGAGAAAATAAACTTTATTTAAAAAAAAACAATTAATAATTACAGTATAATAAAAATTACCACTTATAAAGGAAGATTTATAGATTATATACATAAAAATTATAAATTTTTATCTTGCTGTAAACTATATTAAAAGCCTTACAGAAATGATTCCGATTCTTAGATCAAATGGCAATCAATTTTTTAATTTTTAATTATTACTAATAAATACTATATTTCTATGTTTTGAATTTATTTTTTACTCTCAGCTGAATAAGAGTACAAAATAAAACAAAATTCAAAATTTAAGGTATAGTAGATTTTTTTAAATGTTGGTGACCGGGGCGACCCCAAGCTCCCCTATACACGGTCTAATAACGGTCTTGTATTTATAAAAATTATTTATACAAGGTTTTTGTATTGATTATTTTTTTTTATAAAGGATAGAAAAAACAACAAGCTATGATGAAGTAAAAACGGCGATGAAGAAAGCCGCGGACGGTGAACTCCGCGGAATAATGCATTACACCGAAGATGACGTTGTTTCGTCAGATTTCAACCACACTAAGTACTCGTGTGTGTTTGACGCAAAGGCTGCTATTCCACAGACTGGCACTTTTATAAAAGTTGTGGTCTGGTATGACAACGAGTACGGTTTTGCTCATCGGATTATCGATTTGATACGATTTATGCAAGATGTTGATTCTGGAAAAGGCTGCTCTCCGACTGACCATAATATTGATGATTCTTTCACTGGATAATTATTTTTATAATTGTTCAAAATAAAAATTTTTTATTACAGATAATAACATAAGTTAATTATAATTTAAACAATTTAAATAGCTTTTTTGTCAATTTTTTTTATTTAAATGAAAAATAATTTTATCATCTAGAAAAATAAATTTTTCTTAAACACAAAATAAGAGCTCAATATAAATGATTATTTTTTTTGATAAATAATATAGGTCTTATGCTATAATTTCTTTGCTAAAAAATTTACAAAAATTATCACTTATTTATCAATTTTAATAGCATATTTTTTTTTTTAATTTCCTTAATAACATGATGCAATAATCAATTAAATAAACAAATGAAACTTTTTTTCAAATTTTTTTTACAGTTTTTTAAAAAAGACCCAGTTATTGACACTTGTAATTTTCTTTTAATTAAAAAAAAAAAACAAATTAACTCTAATAAATTAATAAATACAATTTTTTAATTAGAATAAAATTGCAAGTGTCAAACAACTAGACCAATGTCAACAACTTGGTCTTCTACCTTAGATAAAAACAATTTTAATATAACACTAAAAAACATTAATTAAATTAAAAGAAAATATTTTACATGAATTTTTAATTTCTTCTTTGTTAATAAAAACAATTTTTATATTATTAAATACAAAAACAGTAAAATATCTGTTAAAAAAAATTAATTACAATAATTTTAGTCATCAAATGATCTAACTCAAAAACTTCCGCGGTTTTCTAATAAAACCGAAAGCCAGTCGGATTATCCCGTGAAGAACCATGTGACTGCTACGTCGGACGCGTCGTCACGACCAATAAAAAACAAGTAACCAGAGCGCACTCGCAAGTCGCCATTTATATTCGGCAGCTTGCCCTTCAAACGACACTATTTCCGCAGTTGTTCGAGTGATCGCCGGCTTATTTCGCTGTTACGTAAGTACATCATACCACACATTAAAAGTTACATTACTTACAATTAAACATTCAAATCACCTTATATCAATAATTTATTCCAGAATTATCACGCCACTCGCAATCCCATCCACAAATCCATATTCATCACATTTTATTTCATTAGATTAAATAACATCCAAATCTTTAAAACACGCGATCCATGGCTACAAAAAATGGTTGCCGTCAAGGGCACGGTCGTCTAAATTTAAATTTTATCTAATTACACTGACAATTGACATCTAATTGTCACTTTTTGTCTAATTACTCTCTTTGATTCAACAAAAATCAGTAATTTATAAATTGTTTAATTTTTCACTTAATTAAGTCTTTTTTTTCGTCCTACGTGCCGAAAGTCACGTCATATATGATAACTGTGAAGCAATACTTTTAAATAGTAATAAAAATATATATATATGTATATATATTTATTACATATTCAATCTGACATAGTTTATTGTTATCTAAGTTTAGGACACATTGCAAAATTATTTAACAACTATGACGCAATTGTTGTTTAAAATTAAATTTTAAGTATTTTCTAACATTATTTCATTAACACGTCATTACTTCATTGCTAAATAGTTACTTTATTTTATTTTTCAATGTCAGTTAAATAATCTACAATATAACAATGATCAACAATGAAGTGATGAGATAAAATTTAAATATTGTTTATTTCCAATTTTTTAATTAATTTTCAGTAAGGGTGTGGTTGTGTTTTATTTAAAAAAGCAATAGGTTTAGCCAATATATATATATATATATATATAGGTTGTTGGATTACGTGATATTCGTAGCGAGCTACATCATCTGGCATACTTAGAGTATTGATCTGGAGATAGTTACAGCTGGGGGCATATATATGTAATCTGCGCCGTGACATTCTGTGGCCCACTGACAATGGCTGACGTTTAAATAGTTTGCTAAAAGAAAAAAAATCTGACCTTGCACGACCTTTGTACTTGGGAGAGAAGAGATGAATTGAAATTTCCTTCATTCATGCTTGATATCAGCTCTCATGCTCACATCAAACGTTTAAAAAAATAAATCAGTATTAATATTAAACAAGAGATTCAACTTTCATAATTGTTTAAGGCCTTGAGTAATTGTTAGTACTAATTAGTTTTTGTGTTAACTGTCAAGCGTAGTTTCTAATTTTAAACAGATTTTTTTTTGTCGCTGAAAATATTTTATATTTTTGTGTGAAATAAAATTTGAGTTTAAAATATTATTCAAGTTACATAAGAAGTGATTTGGATTTTTTTTTTTTGTTGGAAACATTTTTAAATATTAATGTACAGGCATTACAGCTGAATAATTTTGAAAATTTTTTATTTTTTAGAGTAAAACTTATCAATCATGAGTAAAATTGGAATCAACGGTTTCGGACGTATTGGACGTCTCGTCTTGAGAGCTTCCATTGACCGTGGAGCGACGGTCAGTATGATGAATTTTTTATTAATATGATTAATAATAATAATAATAATTTATTACTGTTAAGTTAAAGAAAAATTGATATATTGCTTCCACAAGAATAATATACTCTGAAAAAATTAATTAATCACAATTCATTAACGAGAAATGAATGAATTAGGTTGTTGCTGTCAATGACCCGTTCATCGACTTGGACTACATGGTTTACATGTTCAAATATGACTCAACCCACGGTAAATTCAAGGGAACCGTCGAAGCCAAGGACGGAAACTTGATTGTAAACGGTAACAAAATCATGGTCTTCAACGAACGTGACCCGAAAGCCATTCCATGGAGCAAAGCTGGCGCTGAATACGTCGTTGAGTCCACTGGAGTCTTTACTACCATTGAAAAGGCTTCAGTAAGTTGATCTATAACTTGAATTATTTTAGCTTCTCATTGCATTGCAACTATATTGTTATTTGTTTATTTAAGACTAAAAATTATGTAATTGTTAACTAATTTTCTGCATCTAGGCTCACTTGGAAGGTGGTGCCAAGAAAGTCATCATCTCAGCTCCATCTGCTGATGCACCAATGTACGTCGTTGGTGTGAACCTTGACTCTTACGACCCAAGCCACAAAGTTGTGTCAAACGCATCTTGCACAACCAACTGTCTTGCTCCATTGGCCAAGGTCATTCATGACAACTTTGAAATTGTTGAGGGTCTCATGACCACTGTCCATGCTACCACCGCTACCCAGAAGACTGTTGATGGACCATCTGGAAAGGTTAGTATTAATATTATATTTATTTATAAAAATAATTTTTTTTTTGTCTACCTTAAATTATTAAAAGAAAAAAAAATTTTCGTTTTTTAAATGTCAATGTCGGTCAAAAGTCTTTGACTAGTTTATTTTTTTTACTTTGAACATTTAGAATAATTGCTTATTTAAAACAAAAAAATTTCAATTATTTTAATTCAAAATCTGAATAGTGTCAATAAATTTAATTATGAAAAAAATGACCATATATATATATATATTGATAATAAAAAAAAAAAAAAATTTCTATAGTTGTGGCGTGATGGACGTGGAGCTGCCCAAAACATCATTCCAGCAGCAACTGGTGCTGCCAAAGCCGTCGGCAAAGTTATTCCAGCTTTGAACGGCAAGCTTACTGGTATGGCATTCCGTGTCCCAGTTGCCAACGTATCCGTCGTTGACTTGACAGTCCGTCTTGGCAAACCAGCAACCTACGACGCAATCAAGGCCAAGGTCAAGGAAGCCGCTGAGGGACCACTCAAGGGCATCTTGGGATACACCGAAGATGATGTTGTATCCTCCGACTTCATCGGTGACAACCACTCAAGTATTTTCGATGCCAAGGCTGGAATCCCATTGAGTGACGGATTCGTCAAGCTCATCTCTTGGTACGACAACGAGTTCGGTTACTCCAGCCGTGTCATTGACCTCATCAAGTACATGCAATCCAAAGACCAATAAATTTATCACGATGATTCTATATCACGGATTGTCGTTACGCAGCGATGATGAGGGTACGATTAAATAATATAGCCGGCTTTTAACATCGTTGTCTTTAATAGTAGCAGTTCAAATTGAAAGAAGATAACCTGAGAGAGGCAGATGTTTAAAAAGCTTTTCATCATCATCATCAGTTAAATTATAGAGTTAATAATGATTATAATTATAATTAAAAAAAAAAAAAAAAAAAATATATGAAAAGCATTGTTTTAAATCATCAAATTAAAGACAGTTTAAATGTTTACAATTTTAATTAATAATTACATATTTTGTCAACTATATTTATGTACAGTTGATTTAATATAAATCGATGCAATTCAATATGTATTTCTTATCGTCGTTGTTCATCGATACTTGAATTTTCTTTCAAACATTAATAAATATAAAGAACAAATTAGTTTATTACATACCTTTTTATTTTACCTTCATTCAATCCTAAACTTTTTACTAAGTACAATAAATTATTATCAATTATTCTAAAAGCGTAATGAATAATAAAAACTTATTTTGCTACCATAAAATTAATGAGCCAGATATTTATTAAATAAAAAAAAATCTCAGTTACAGTAAATTATTATATATAATTAATTTAATTACATCAAATAGAATCAACTATCAGGGGAATCAATCCCATTAACGCGAGCTACAAATATTTCTCGTAATATTTATTAATTAATTTTATTTTAATCTCTGTTAAACTTACATATATACAAATACATTTAGACCAACCATCGATTGATAATAATGCAACAGTTATTTAAAATTCATTTTACTTTTCATTTGTCTTTTTAATTATGATATTAATTTTTTTAATTTATATATTAATTATAAATAAAAATAATTAATATTGTATTATATTTAAAAAACATGAACAGCTAACTAAGTCGTAGAGACGACGTTACGATTGAAATGTTTGATTAGATTTTTTTAAATAGCTTACGAAAATACATTTAGACTTTAATCGATAAAGCCCATCGACACTGTGATTTATTATTTATCATTATCACTTTTATTGTTACTCAGTACCGATGATTAATTATTACTTTTTTTTCTTTATCAATTAATTAATTTATTAATCAACACACCGTGAAATTTTATCAATTAAAATGAAGGGAAAATATGTATAAGGTTTAGTATGCAACTATTGATAATGCTCTTCTAAATATTACTGACAAGTTAGGGTGCGAGTAAAAAAATAAAGAATTATTTAAATAAGTGAATAATTAATGAAAAATTTTGTTCATGAAGAAAGCGAACGAGAGCGACATGATTGCAGATATGGGCGGACAACTAGATCGTCTGAGTGTTGCAAGTGCAATAGAGATAGCGATGAAATACAGGATCAAGTGATAAGGAGTAATTTAGCACGTAAATTAATACGCTCTTGCAATGCACCAGCTAGTTCACGAGTCAGCTCCTCGCAAACGAGCCGTAACTCGGCATTTTTTTCTCTCAATTCTTCTAAAGTCAGACTTTTGCTGTCATCCGTATCATCTTTGCCCTCTTCTTCTCCTTCTCCACGTTCTAAAATTAATTTTTTAATTATTTATTATTTTAATTAAATAGTTTGATATTTAAAAATTAAGTAAAAAAATTTCTAAAATTTATTACTAAGACTCGGTTTCCGATAGATATGAAAAGCACCACAGACTCCAGTGAATTGTTGGCTCTGATTTGCTGGAACACTTTCCAGATTTGTGATATCTTCATTCTTGGGAGAAAAGTGAGAAAAATCAGCGACGAAACTTGGATTTTCATTAACCAATCTCGGGTCCTCACATTCACTTCGTTGACCGACTAGTTTTCTTGGCGAGCTCTTTAAAAGAAAACGGGATAAGTTTATAAAAAATATAAATTTTTAGTGACTGTAAAACTTACAACTCCTGGAGACACTCTGGGTGGCACAGAAGGTGGAGCACCTAAAAAATTTTGTCCATTTTTACCTAATGAAATATAAAATCAAATAAAAATAGAATAAAATAAATAAATAATAACAGGAATTTTTTTTTAATTACTGGATAAATTTATAAATAATTTTCTTAAAAAAAAAAAAATAAAAATAATTATTGCTACAAATATCAGAGTGACTTTAGAGGGATCTATAAAAATATTATAATAAAAAATAATTTACCTAATTTATTAAGATCAAGACTAGAGCTTCGAGTGTGGGTTCTATAAGGTCTAGGAGGTGGCGGAGGAGGTGGCTCTTTTTTTGGCGTGACAGCAAGACTGTCGTCGTTGGAAGCTAAAGACTTCTTATTGAGCGACCTCTGTCCCAGGTTGACAGCCGACAGAAGAATGTCTTCATCAACGAGCCCAGCGGTGCTGTTGTTTCCATTGGCACTGGAGGCTAGAATAGCCGCCTCGGGGGTCAGTCTAAGTGGCACCGGGTGTAGAATCTTGGGATCTCGATCGACAGCAGCTTTTTGTAAGTCAAAATTAACGATAAACTTGGGCTTTGGCCCAGGACTAGCTAAAGCACCAGCACTGCCAGTAGGAGAGTCCACGAATTTCGTCCACTCTTTATTTTTCTCTCGCGTATTTGCAGCGCTTGATCCAGTCGTCGCAGAAGGTGAGCCTTGGACTTGAGATTGAGACTGAGATTGAGATTGCGACTGACTGTGAATTGACTGCGTAGTTTGCGTCGGTGGTGACGGTGGAGGCGGAGGAGGAGGCTGCGGAGCTGACGGTTCAACCACAACAGAATTCAAAGTTGGCAACGGAGGCGGCGGTACTGTCAACGTGAACGCCAAGCTCGGAGGTAACGAGTCTGGCAGTGGTACGTGATTTCTCCTCAGCACAACGAGGTGCATCGCGACGTAAAACTCCTGCAAGCTCAACGCTCCGTCTCTGGTGACGTCTGCCAGCTGCCAAATGCGTCTCAGTTCAGCGACGGGCAGCCGGGACTTCTCGAAGAAGGTCCTCGCGATGGAACCAGCCAGCAAACCTTCTGGGTTCGGCTGTAGCCTTGAAAACTGGGCGGCGTAATAATCTCTCTGCTCGTCGCTGATGATCCAAACTTCTTCTGGCGGAAAACTCGAAGCGTCTCCATCTCCGTCAGCTTCATCGCTGCTGTGTCGCTCGGAACTCTCTTCCTCAGTGCCCAGCAGCTGTCGCTGCTCTTCAGACACAAGGAGACCTTGCCAACTCCCGGAGGTTGAATCGAGAATCGTTTCTCCGGCCATCAAACCGTCGATTATTCTTTCCTGCGTGACACTGTTGGTGGGTGTCGGTGAGTCAGTACTGCCTCCAGTTTCTCGGGGCGACTCTGGATCGCTTTCACTCTCAGTGGTGCTCTCAGGCAACCGCGACCCAGTCAGTCCACTGGCTGTCGTGTTCTTAGTTACCATACAATCTTTACGTCTGTCCGTGGTGTCCTCGTCACCTGACGTAGGCCATGAAAACCTGGGTAACGGTGTCGCTATTTCCAGGGAATTAATAGCCATGTCACGGTGAATATCCAGACCAGCTTGGTGTGCTGCGACTAATTTCAATGCTGCATAAAACTGCTTCCTGCCCATGTGATTGTTTACTTTGGAGCCCACGCAGATATCCAGTATCTACAATAATAATAATAATAATAATAATAATAATAACAACAACAATAATAATAGTAATTATGATTGAAATTAATTGAATGAAGAAAATTTTATGCGATTTAAAATAAATTAATCAGCTGTTGCAAAATTTTATAATTTATTTGAAATGTTTTGGGAATTGATAAGTGTAGAAAAAAATTTTTTTTTATGTGACAAGTTAGTTTTCTACGAAATAATGCGATAATAAAAAATATTGACAAAATAGATAAAGAAATCATAATAATAGTTAGCCGATATTTTTGATTTTTTTATTTTGCTTAATTTATTAAATTATAACTAAAAAATATTTTTTGAAAAATTGCACTTATAGTTTTTAAATGAAAAAATTTTTTTTTATTTTTTTGTATTTTTTTTAATAAAAAAAAATCAACAATTTTTAGATGTCGGCTAACTTTATATTCTTAAAGAAATCAAAACTGTTGATAAATTTTATAAATATTGAATTGATTAGTAAAATTATAATAATAATAATAATAAAATTAATTAGATTACCATACATATTGAATCTCATTGCATAATGAAAATAACAATGAGTAACAATTACCTTGATGGTAGTATCTCGAGGTAAATTAGCAGATCGAAATAATTCAGCAGCCTTGACAACCGGGACATTGTCTGGATCGGTGTTGTCACAACAATACAAAAATATATCACCGTAATAACGTAATTCAGTCTCTGTCAAATGAGCATTGGCCTCTGAAATGAATTCCCAATTCATCATGTATTTTTTTTTCCTCAACCCAGACTGAAACTGCAGGCCAACAACAAACCTCCAACACAGGAAGCTGACAACGTCAAACGTCCTACAAATATCAATTATATTAACCGGATATAATACCAATTTTAATAATTTATTTCATACCTACTTCCTATCACCTACTTACTATTTATTCCACGTCTATATGTTTAACTTGTATATAATCCATAACTGGCTTCTTTAACTTATCTCCACTCGTCACAGAGATAATCCTTGATTACAAACACTGGTTTATATTTAATTACACTCTGTTATTAATAGTTTTATTTTAAAAACAGAACTATATGACCCCTATTACTCGAAATTTTCATGAGCATCCGCCATTTTTATCTTGGTATTGATGATCAACGTAAAATCCACGAATCCACACACATTTATTATATTTAATACACTTATTAACAATTTTAATTTTTCTGCAACAACCTTCATTTGATAGTCAATTGCGTTGTTGATTTTTCTATTATAATATACAATTATAATTAATTATCCAAGTTTTTTTTATTTTGGAGTTGGAAAATTCACTAAACCGGTAAATTGTCACTGTCAGCTGACGTACACATACTTATATATACTTACGTATTTTTTTGTATGTATATAGATGTATACATATGAACTCATTATTGTTCATTCAAAATTTTTATTCAAAAATTAAAATAGTATTTTGATAAAAAATTTATAACACATCTGTCAAAAATATTAATTTTCAATTAAAAAAATTATTTAAATATTTTAATTATTTTAATATTAAAATATCACTAAAGTAGAAGTTTTATTTTTATTAAACCCGACAATTGGTAAAGTAAATTCCAACTACTAATAATAATAAGGCGGCATTTAATATATTATTTTTAATTAAATAAAAAAAAATTAACACGACCTTGATTGTAAATTGTACATAAACAATTTTTTTAATTTGTTAATTCATCCTCAAGGATCATAATTATCATAATTATCCAGTTGATTGCATTAGAATAAAGAAAAAAATCTAAAAAATCAAGTAGATTTATAAGAGACCCGCCGTTGATTGAGTTATCAATCAACTTTAAATCTGTCTTAGTTAAAAATAAAAATAATTGAAATTGGAGTTAATAAAGTAACATTGTGGTGTTTAAATTAAATTTGAGAATTGATTATTATTAAAAGAATTAATGGGTGAGTAGAATGAATTTGACATTTACTTGTGGAAAATAAAATTTTTAAACTTATTGATTTTTATGTTAACCTTCAGACGTCCTATTTTAGGGACGTAGGATATCCATCAGTGATTACGAAATCCAGTGTTTGTATTGCAAGCAGCCTGCCTGGCTGGGTGTGAACGTTCAACGTCCGCAGTTCATTTTCTAACGAAGCCTAGTTCTGCACGCACGTCTCTGCTCATCGTTTCACCAAAAAAATCGTTCAAGGTCAGAGTTTTTAAGTGATAATGTCATAATTAAGAAACTACAAGTTAAATATCTGAGAGTTAATAATTAGTGTCATCATAAATTATTTATTATCAGCTAAAATATTAATAGAAAAATAATATTAATAATCAGTGTAACGATTAGTGAGTCTGCGATAACTGGCGTTATATTGGATACACGTGACAACCTGCGTACGTGACATAATAACTAGAAATAATAACAATGGTGGAGAAACAATCATTACAACAAGTCGTAACTGCTTTGCAATTACCAGCAGTAGTAGCATTTGGAAATCCTCTGCTGGATGTTGTTTCTACAATTCAGGATGCCAATTTATTGGAAAAATATAAATTGGAAGTTGACAGTGAGATTGAATTGCCAGAGGATATTATTCAACAAATCTTAGCTGATTTGCCTACTGAGTAAGTTCATAAATAGTTAATTATTGATTTAGTTAATTATAAAATAACACATGTGATACTTTATTATCATTATATTAAATTTACGCTATTTAAATATTTTAATTGTAGCTGGAATCAACGAGTTGCTGCTGGAGGATGTGCACAAAATACTGCGAGAATACTCCAATGGCTTTGTGGAGGTCCGAAAATTCCTCACGTTGCTGTTATTTGTGGAGGAATAGGCAATGATTCTCGGGGCGCGACTCTTGAAAAATTAGTCAAAGCTACTGGAGTTGAAACACGGTATAATTAGACACACATATTTATAGACTTAAAACACTAGACATTAAAACATTCCTTTTAAAATATCCCGTTACACATAAACATAAGAAAATTATATTTTACTCAATTCTCAATAATTAAAACAACAACATAATACTAACAACCTTGCAGTCACTATGTGACTACCGTGACTTGTGAACTATAATAAATAGAATTTTGTTTTATTAAATAATGACTTTTGTTAAATTGCAATGTACTTTCTTAAATATTGACATTTTTAAAGATATAAGCTCATCCCGATGTTACACTCATCAAGAGCTTTCATTTGAGTACCCACAAGCATTTTAATATATTTTTCATATATACATATATATATATAATATATATAAATATATGAAAAATTGATGTGGGTACTCAAATAAAAGGTCTCGATGAGTGTAACATTGGAATGAGCTTATATCTTTAAAAATGTCAATAGTTCACAAGATACAAGGTTATTTCTTAATTATATTAAATTGCACTGTACTTTCTTAAATATTGACATTTTTAAAGATATAAGCTCATCCCGATGTTACACTCATCAAGAGCTTTCATTTGAGTACCCACATACATTTTGATATATTTTTCATATATACATATATATAATATATATAAATATATGAAAAATTGATGTGGGTACTCAAATGAAAGCTCTTGATGAGTGTAATGTCGGGGTGAGCTTATATCTTTAAAAATGTCAATATTTCACAAGTTATAAGATCATTTCTTAATTATGTATCTAGAAATAGAGCATTTTCGAATGCAGCCTAAATACTTATCATAATAAATTGACTATCGGTGAGAATGATATGAAACCTTGAAAAGGCACAAATTCATGTCAAGATCTTTGCAATGACACTAAATTTTACTAAAAAAACCGATTTTATCACATGACTATCCTGGACACAAAATTTTTCTTATTCTCTTAATAATATAGATAATAGTAACTATTGCGGGAATTTCATCATCCTGGTACTTATTAAGTACCAGGATGATGAAATCGTTGATGGTAGGATGATGAGGAATGCGTAGACGTCAATAAAAATTAATTAGAGTTTATTGCTTCACTCTAATCCTATCATTCATTTTACTAATTTATTTTGTTTTTCAATTTTTTATGTTTTAAATGAGAAAGTAATTTTTATTTATTTAAATAAAATTTCAGGTACGCTCTGCATCTTGATTTACCAACTGGAATAGCTCTGTCGTTATCAAGAGACTCTTCAAGAAGTTTGATCGCTAATTTAGGCGCTGCTGGTGTTTATACGCTTGAAGACTTGAAAAAAAGCAATCTGCCATGGGAAACTATAAAAATAGTTTACATTGAAGGATTCTTTTTAACGCACGGTCTTGACGTTGCTAAAGAAGTTGTCAAATTGACACAGGATAAAAATATTATTATTGCTTTTAATATTAATGGCGAGTACATGGTCCAGGTAAATAATTTTATGTGGCTCAGATCATTATTTATAAATAACGTATTATAATTTTAATATAATAAATATGTAAAAAATTTTTCTAGGATCATCATGCAGCAATATGTGAAATGGTTGGCCTGGCTAAAATAGTATTCGGTAATGCACGTGAAATGACAGCACTTGCAAAAGCTTTAAACATTAAATTCGACAATGTAGCAGATATTCCGTTCCTCCTAAACAGCTCCAAACGCGTAACTGTTGGTGTATCTAGTAGTGAGCGCAGTAAAGATGATTGGCTGGCTGATAATGACATCTTTGTCATGACACAAGGTGGTTCTGCTCCAGCTATTGTAGTCTGGGGACAAGGAAATTCTGTTCAGGTATTTTAATTAACATTGTTATTATTATTAGAGTTGATTATTACAATTATAATAACATTGCTATTAATTCTGTGATTTTAGGTACAACCAACTAAACCTCCAACTCCAGTAGTTGATGCAACTGGCGCCGGTGATGCTCTTGTAGCAGGATTTTTAGCTGGAGTTCTCTCTCAGTGGGATCCAAAGTCTTGTTTGGAGTGTGGATGTAAAACTGCTGGAATGATGGTCACAAGACTAGGAGTCACTCTCCCAGAAGTTGTCCCAGAGGATTTATTAAAATAATCTTATATAAATTCATATTACTGAAGTAGCCCAAGATACTTAATCAACATTATGTATTTTTATTTATTAATTACTTTACCGATATGTTTTATTTACATATTTCATCAATTATTAACATGAGATTTTTAGTCATATGTGTGTTTAAAGTATTTTTATTTTGAAAGTAGTTCTTGGCACTTTCTATAAAGTACAAATAAAGTATTACTATTAAATGTTATTTATTTTCTCAAGTATTATTTATTTATGCCTCTCAATGAAATATTACTAAAGTTACCCGATGTTTTTAATTTTTTTTTCAATAATTAAATTAGAACAAAAAAAATTTTTTTCAAAATTGCACTTATCAGTTTTTTACAGATAAAATTTTTTTTTATTTTTTTGTTATAATTTTTTCAATAAAAAAATATTCGAAAAATCTTTAGATGTCGGTTAACTTAATTTTTATTTCAATGAATTATTTCTTTTTTTTGACATTTGTCAATTTTTTACATTTTTATAACAAGTAAATTATTATGAAAAAATTTTTATAATAAAATTCTATAACCAGAAAATTTTTTTTTAATTATTTATTTGTTATAAAAATAAAAATAATTGTCAAATGTCTGCTAAAAATAACTAAAAAATTTTTAATTTAATAATAGTTACTTTTTTTTTTAATTTTCTGGACTTAAAATTTTCCCGCCACTTATATCCATCAGATGTCTCTAGTAATTAAGCCGGCAACTTGTCAACTTGTAGGTTAACATTTAAAAAACAATTTGTTTGTAAATTCTGTAACAATAAAAAAAAATTAGCAATAATGAACAAAGTATTGTCATCGCCAATAAAGCAAGTGAGTAGTAAAATAAATTCCGGTGAAATTCAACCCACTGAAATATGTAAGTCAGCATTGAAATTAATATCCTTAACAAGGCCGCTGAACGCTTACATAAATGTCTGTGAGGATCTGGCCCAGAAGCAAGCTAGTGAATCTGACAAAAGACAGCAGGACAACAAATTATTGGGTTCCTTGGACGGGATCCCCATTGCTATAAAAGACAATTTTTGCGTAGAAAACTATCCGACGACTTGCGCGTCATTCATGTTGGCTAACTTCGTTCCCGGATACAGCGCAACAGTTTACAACAACCTGAGAAAACATGGAGCAGTACTGCTGGGTAAAACTAACTTAGACCAATTTGCTATGGGTGCTGGAACCGTCGACTCCTATTACGGTCCAACACAAAATCTTTGGGGCTCAAATTTTATGGAAAATTACGTGTCTGATGGTATTGACAGTATTCCTGTTGTTAAAAAAGCTGATAAGAATCATTGGAATATTGCAGGTATGTTTTATTTAAATATCTGTTATTTTTTATTTATTAATATCAGAATCTCGGAATTTTGAATGATTTTGCTAAATAAATTTTATGATAGCGAAATGATACTAAAGTTAGCCGACGTTTTTAATTATTTGATTTTTTTTTAATAATGAAATTAAAACGAAAAACTATTTTTAAAAAATATCACTTATAGTTTTTGAAGTTTTTCACAAGAGAAATTTTTTTAAAAATTTTTTTCAATAAAAATTTTTATATTTTTTTTCATTAATTAAATTAGAACTAAATAAATATTTTAAAAAATTCCATGCATTGCTTTTTAAATTTTCTACATGTGGAATTTGCAAAAAATTTTTTTGTTATAAATTTTTCAATAAAAAGAATTCTAAAAATTGTCAGGTGTCTGACAACTTTATTTTCATTAAAATTTTTCATTTTCAAAATAATAATGAATTTTAATGATACTAAAATTATCAGACATCTGACAGTTTTTGAATTGTAATTTTTTTTAATTTCTACATGTAAAATTTTTTTTTTTTTTAATTTTTTCATTTTAATTCAATTGTTATCAAAATCTAAAAAATTGTTAGATGTATGTTAAATTCAATATCACAAATTTTATCAAAAAAATTTTTATATTTTAAACATTAATTAATTAGAAATATTTACAATCATTGTAATATGTCTAGACTTTTGAGATTCAAGTAAGGTAAAAGACCCAGTTACTGACACTGGCCTAGTTGTTTGACAATTGCAATTTTATTCCATTAAAAAAAAAAATAAAATATTCTCAAAAAACCAATTATCTAAAAATTTATAATTCACAAATAGTATTTATTAATTTATTGGAGTTGGCTTTTTTTTTTTAATTAAAATAAAATTGCAAGTGTCAGTAACTAGGCCAGAGTCAATAACTAGGTCATTTACCTTACATGTATTTAATAATTAGCATACTAATAACCAAAATAATTATTTGTAAGGTGGAAGTAGCGGAGGATCAGCTGTAGCAGTAGCTACTGGTACATGTTTCGCCGGAATAGGATCGGACACTGGCGGATCAACGCGAAATCCAGCAGCCTACTGTGGGCTAATAGGTTTGAAACCTAGTTATGGATTAGTGTCTCGTCATGGATTAATTCCTCTTGTAAATTCAATGGACGTTCCCGGCATATTAACCCGTAATGTTGATGATTGTTTGTTAATTTTGAATGCGATTGCAGGAACGGATCAGCTCGATTCTACCACGCTAGATCAAAGTCTTACGCCGATAGAAATACCCAGTACTGATATCAGCGTGAGAGGATTACGCGTCGGAATACCTAATGAATATAATCACGCGGAATTGAATCAAGAGGTACACAATACCTGGATGGGAGTTTCTAATTTATTAAAGGAAGCTGGAGCTGACGTGGTGCCTGTGTCGCTTCCACATACTGAATATTCGATCGTATGTTACTCTGTGCTAAATCAATGTGAAGTTGCGAGCAACATGGCGCGCTACGACGGCATTGAGTACGGACTGCGTGCTGATGAATCCATGTCTACTGAGCGGTTGTACTCAAAGACGCGTAGCCTCGGATTCAATAATGTCGTACGCAGCAGAATATTGACTGGTAATTATTATTTATTGTCTGAAAATTATAATGATTACTTCGTAAAAGCAATGAAAGCCCGTCGGCTGATAGCCCAAGATTTTGACGCCGTTTGGAATGATAATATCGATATTCTCCTGACTCCGACTACGCTGTCTGACGCTCCGATTTACAAGGACTTTATCAGCCAAGATAATCAGACTCAATGCTCGGTACAAGATTACTGCACACAACCAGCGAATATGGCGGGTATACCTGCGATAAATGTACCAATTAGCTTGTCGAAAAAAGGCTTACCGCTGTCATTGCAGTTGATGGCGCCGTTTCTCCATGAACAGAGATTACTCACTGTTGCCAAGTGGCTCGAAGATGCTGTTAAGTTTCCTAGGATTTATTTAAAAGAATCATGTTTATAAAAATAGTTTTTTATTTGTACATAAATAATTTATTGATTGTAAAAAATTATAGAGTGATAAATTAAAATGTTTTTCATTTTTTAATTATCTACATTATTAAGAAAATAAGAAAAATTTTGTGTCCAGAATAGTCATATGATAAAATATGTCTTGACGTCATATGTCTTGACTTGAATTTGTTCTTTTTCAAGGTTTCATATCATTCTCACCGATAGTCAATTTATTATGATAAGTATTTAGGCTGCATTCGAAAATGCTCTATCTCTAGTAGATAATATATATAAATATATGAAAAAATGATGTGGGTATTCAAATGATAGCTCTTGACGAGTGTAACATCGGGATGAGCTTATATCTTTAAAAATGTCAATAATTCACAAGATACAAGGTTTTTTTTAAAAACGTCAATATTTAAGAAAGTACAGTGCAATTTAACATAATTAAGAAACTACTTTGTATCTTGAGAACTATTGACATTTTTAAAGATATAAGCTCACCCTGACATTACATTCATCAAGACCTTTCATTTGAGTACCCACATCAATTTTTCATATATTTATATGAATTATATATATGTATATATGAAAAATATATCAAAATGCATGTGGGTACTCAAATGAAAGCTCTTGATGAGTGTAACACCGGGATGAACTTATATCTTAAAAAATGTCAATAATTCACAAGATACAAGGTTTTTTTTAAAAACGTCAATATTTAAGAAAGTACAGTGCAATTTAACAAAAGTCATTATTCAATGAAGCAAAATCTTGATTATTTATATTTCACAAGTTACTATATTTCACATAGTGACTGTAAGGTTGCTAGTAAAGCATTATTATAATTATGAGCTTTGCGTTGGTCGTGCAATATATGTTGCCCATATGAAAGGTTTAAATGTTAAAAATAAAAATAATTATCAGACTGAAAATAGCCGAGGATTCGCATGTTTCTATAAATAGATATTTGTGAGCTTTTATTGTACTAACTAATACCTGATAGTTATATTTATTAATAATTAATTTTATTAAATTACAGCTAGATTAAACGTAATAAATAATTTATCAGGAAACCCGTCAAATAATACTAAGTATAATAATAATAACTAATAAATGGGATGGTAGACTCCAAACTACGATGGTTATTGATAATCTATAGGAATTTAATAATTCAGACAATTATTAAATCGATTGCATCCGTGCTATCTCTCCCAGTAATGCGGTGTACCAACAAATATCCAAAGTACGTATAACATGTCATAAATAATAAGTAAAACCTTTGCAATTAATGCCACTTTAATCCAAAATTATATTTAGTTTTAGTAGTTATTAATTTAAATTAAAAACTTAAGTGTAAATGACCATGCGGGTACTTTTGGAGTCTCTTTTTATCAAAGAAATTATTAGTTTCCTTATATGTACCATACTAGCATTAGTATTAAAAGAGTAAATGTCACATCATTGACATCCCTTGATATAAAAGTCTACTTGGCTTGTAAACTTGAACCAAGCTTTGAAACGATCATCCATGTGCCCTCATACCGGATCCACAGTCATAGCTTCAGACTTTACCGGGAGTAAAATAAAAGACTCAAAGTCTCTTGATATTTTAATCCAAATGCACCCGCACACTTTCCTCGTCTCTTTGTACAATATAAAATAGTCTCGTATAAAATAACATGACTGACAACTGTCTATGAAGTTTTTCACAGAAGGTGGTAAGCAAACATGATTACTTTTTTTTTCTCTTTTTTTTAATACTCTTATTTTTATTTCCACGATATAATATTACTATGATATTGAAATTAGCAGACGTCTAAAAATTTTTGATTTTTTTTTATTAATTAAATTACAACTAAAAAGATACTTATAAAAAATTGCACTTATAGTTTTTCAAGTTTTTTACAGGTGAAATTTTTTTTTTTAATTTTTAATTGAAATTTTTTCAATAAAAATTTTCTAAAAATTTTGAAATGTCGGCTGACTTCATTTTCATATATTAATGATAGCAGACGTCTAAAAATATTTATTTTTTTTTTATTAATTAAATTACAACTAAAAAGATACTTATAAAAAATTGCACTTATAGTTTTTCAAGTTTTTTACAGGTGAAATTTTTTTTTTTTAATTTTTAATTGAAATTTTTTCAATAAAAATTTTCTAAAAATTTTGAAATGTCGGCTGACTTCATTTTCATATATTACTTGATGTATTGAATAAAAAGGAAGAAATAATTGCTGGATTCTGCAATGCAAGTTAAGTAAAACTAAAGTGTCCGTATCAAGAATTAATAAAATAAAAAATTTAAAGGACTTTAATGATAAATAATTAGATGTAAGTCAAGACTTAGGTCCTTTAGATTTAATTACGAAATAGTGATATCAGTGTGTGTCATTAATGATGCATCGTGTTTATAATAAAAATTAGGGTTGGGCAAAGGTCTTTAAGGGCGCATGCGTTCGACCTGGCCCGGGGGCTGTCGTGTCCGCGTCTCGCGCTCTCGCGTACAGTCATCGGGTCGACGTCAAGGCCACCACATCCGGGACCTCTTTTATTCTATATATGTATTTGCCAGCTGTAACTCTTTGAGGAATAAATCCAGTTTATCCAGTTGAGCTTTTATACTCAATATGTAAATATTCAAGTTTTAATTACACGTAAAAATAATGATCAACAAAATTAATGAAATTTCTTCCATATAAAAAATTTTTTTAATTTTTTAGTTGTCCGTTTGCTCTATAGAAATTTTTAAAATTCAAGGACACTTGTGACTTTTTTCAAGCGTGTCTATTTTACTGGTAACTTTTTTTGGCGCAAACGTGACCTTGTCTCTTATTAAAATTAATATTCTTGTGATAAATAATGAATTAGTTAATTAAGTATTTATATCATTAAAAAAGTGAACTTTTATGTAAAAAAAATTTAGTGATTATTTTTTTATTTATAGTGTGACGCAAGATCGTGTGTGTTATTTCAATAAGGGCGGAATTTTTAATTAAAATTATACAGGTTAGTGTTTGGTAATTAATTACTCCATTATTATTATTATTATTATTATTATTATTATTATTATTATTATTGTTTTTAGGTATAAAAATAAGGTTAATGTAATTGGGAATTATTAATTAATTATTATTTATTACACTTAGAGTGTGTAGTGTTATTATATGTGTATGATTTTAAAACCAGCTGTTGAGTACTTCCCGCGTGATTGAGTTGATCTACCAGGATGATTATCGACAGTAACCTTTTAGCGCAGTAAAGTAGTAGGTGTGTGTTTAACTCTCTGAAATAAATTTTATTAAAAGGTAGTTTGTATGGTGAAATTTTATGTAAATTATAGACTTAATGGTTTATAATTAAGGAGAATATATTGCCATTGTATAATTATTGCTCTAGTAGGTATATTAGGGGTTTGTCGAGATCTTGATAAAAGCTCTCAATAAATTACCGAACGAACAGGTGCTTTAACTTCAGCTTTAGCTTCATCAGTTCTGTAATCTTGGTCTGCATAAAATAAGAATTTGTTCCAGAGTTTATAGTGCTTTAGAGGTACAGCTGTTTTACTTTTTAACATCATTATTCTAATTGTTATTATCAGCATCTCGGTATAGATACTTTGTTTTTATTACTTCCGATTGCTAATTTTTTATTTTGGTAATTTATATTTAATTATTAGAAATAAAAAACAACTCAATTATTGCAATTGTTAAAATTTTTATTAAAATTCATTATTAAATTATTAATTTTTCCATAAAAAATTAAAAGTTTCATATAATAATTATGTTTTATTAAAAAGAAGAAATTTTTTGATTTAAGAATTTTGAAAATAATTTGAATGTTTTGATAAATAATAAATTATCATGAATAACAGTGCAATATTTCAACAAGTAATTAGAGTTAAAATGATGAATTATAATAAGAATTTTAATAATAGATGCACTGTATGTGTACGAATAATTTTGACAAATAAAAGAGGATAAAGGGGTTGACTGTGACAGGAAAAGGGTGTAATGGAATCAAAGGGATGCATTAAATTGTGCGTCGCTAGTAACGTTATCGAACCCTCAATAATATTGGGGAAGCTATACATAACCGAGATTTCAGATGATGAGGATAAAAAGCCAAAGAAAATATTGCTTTTGTGACTTTGAAATTTTTTTTTATCTCAAATACGCTTTTCTTTCATTCTCATTTTATTTTACAATCTTTTTTATAGTTATGACTCTTTTTTTTTTTTTTTTTTTTTTTTTTTAGCGTGCAATTACAAAGAATAAGCTCGAAAATACTCGGTACTACTTCCTTTGACGTAATCACGAATATAAAATTAATAACCCTCGAACTTTTCAGCACAATAAAATTTTCCGTACAAACTAGGTATTTTTACGTTTTGTTTATTATCTTATAATGAAGGCTGTTTATTAGCTAGTTTTAATTGCGCATTAAAATTTTTAGTATAAGTCGTTGATTTTTAAAAAATTACCATATCCAGTTGAGTTAAAACCTACCTAATCAGCATATTTTTGAAGGTTGCCATGACAACGAAAGCTCTTTTTCCCCTATTCTGATTAGGTCTCTTTACAACCCCCAGCACAAAAGCTGTTTCAAATACTCATCTGAATTTTTTATGTCGTATCTTTCCTTTTTTCTCTTTTCCTCCATTTACTTTTTCCGCTTCTCCTTTTTGTAACCACTGAACACCAAAAAAATATAAATTGAAAAGATAATACACTTGATATCTTGTGTTCCATTACCTAAATCCAAATCTATATTATATGCCTCATTACATACTTACAAAGAAAAAAAAGTTTACTTGATGCAAAATTTTTTTGATTTAAAAAAAAAATTTATCTTTCAATATTTTCTTATGTTAAGAATTTTTTCTTTTTGCGTATACAAGTTAATTCGTAAATCAAATCTAGTTACTCTTTAGCTTCACAGTGAGTAGAGAGACTTATTTATTTCACTCACCCTGTGGGAGGTCTAAGCATTGGTACTAATCCC